TATATATATATATATATATATATATATATATATATATATATATATATATAGGTGTGCTAAACTAAGCCTGCGCGTACAACACTAATAATGCGCTCCGCCCATCTCGCGCACACCGCCTGGCCAAGTCGCAGAAACTGCTTGTCTTAATCGCTCTTTTTCCCCCACCTGCTAGTAAATTCTAGGAAACATATAGTAACGGAGTTTTTTTGGTTACTGCCTCACGCGCAAATCCACGCCCGTGCCACCATATGCGGGCTTCTGGATACAAAATTGCTACTTTCATGAGCATAGTAATGAGACATGAGGAAGATGGTAACGGGATTGATTGGTTTACTGTCTGGCCCATTATTCTCACTAAATAATTAAGAAAAGTATGTTACTAGTCACGTTGCCATTTTCTTTCTCCTAACTTAATTAGCATTGCAGTGGATGATAATTAGGTTAATATACAATCCGGGTGTTAATACCTGCTATACGTCTAGTAATTGGTTTACGGTAACGATTTAGCCATTTAACTGGAAAAATAGAAAATGTATTTCTTTCTTGAACTTGACTTGTTGATCACTAGTAAATTTCTTAATTTTGTTACCATAGTATACTAACACCATTACTATCATTTGCAATGAGGGATTGCGAGGCAAAAGTATAGCGCTATGCAGCCGGTAATAGAATTAATCATGTTACCATTGTATGCTACAATCTTTACGGTCATTAGTGAATAGTGGTCGTGAGCCGGAAGTGATGTGCTGCGTTGGGCAACCAGTAACGAAATTAATTACGTTACCGCATATACCAGTAGCCATTACTAGAAGCAGTAATGGATGTGGTTGGCCAAGCGGAAGATTAGATAGTGGCGCAACGGGTGGAGCATACGATTAGCGTTGGTGGTAACTGTCATCACTTCTTTTACTACATTTAGTAAAGGTTGTTACGGGTAGGTGGGAACAGAATATCATTTTGGGTCGTTACCATATTTCCCACATATATTACGAGGAGGTGGAGGAACTAGTGGAGGAAGTCAATGCGCGCGGCCTGGCCAGAGAGTAGAATAGCTAATTCTACGCTCAGGCTTAGTTTAGCGCCACCGTATATATATA